TTCTTGCTTTTCTTTCCTAGTTTACTTGTAAGATTCAAGGAGGGGCTGCAGCTCGCGCCTCTCTCTGGGATGTTGTATGAACTCACTCTAAATCTGCTTCTGAATTAATAAATTTATTATCATTCATAAAAAAAAAAGGAAATCATACCATGCTCCCATTCTGACCCCCGAATACGAGAAAAAATGCACGATATGATACCTGCTTAATGAAATATTGCTTTAAGTATCTCAGTTTTCATTCTGTTAGAACTTATAAATATTTGCTTTATTGCTCCTTAAATTATACTTTTATTAGAAAGACAATGCTTGTTACTTAGGCTTAGTTTGGAAGGAGTATGGATACAAATATGTAGAGTACAAAACCTTGTATTTTGTATATTTGTACTGTACATATTTGTATTTGTACTCTTTCCAAATTGAGCCTTAGGCTCAACATGCAATAAAATCTCATCTTGCGTGTGAATCCTCTTTCTTCAGAGAAGAGAATTCAGCTCAAGAATATGCAGTCATCTACTTACTAGTTCAACAATGATACGCTTCTTGGTTGGAGAATATATCAAAATGATTTCTTTGATATCAATCTCCTATGGATGTTTGTAATCCCCTATATATCAAGCAACTTGGGAGATTTGCTCATCTGTTGGAACTATTATCCTGTTTTGGTGGTTCAGCTTGTTGGGTACATATGAGAGAGGAGTTCAGAGATTTCTCTTTCAATGATATTGTTTTGGGATGGTTGCATGTGGTGGGATCTTCTATTTCAAGAAACGATACCTGTTATTAGTAGATATTCCCCTTTCTGAAGAAATGGCCAAACTCAACTTTGATAGTTGTACTTTGGGGAAGCTTGGTCCTTTTTGGTGTGGTTGGTATATTTTGGGATGAAAAGGGAGAGATATTGTTGGGATGTTCTGCTCTATATTAGCTCAGGGGGTTGAATTCAGGTTGAGATGTGATCCCTACTTCAGGGTCTAAGGCTTATGGCAGTTAAAGGGGCTTGGTTGGTTTTGAGATGGACTTGGAGGACCATGAATTTTTTGTTATTTCATTAGGAGGCTATAACTCTGGCTTCCAAAGCAAAAATATTATTCAAATGGATCCAGGGATTGATTTTATACTAGAACTGATTTTATTACCCTTATAAAGATGGAGCCATTTTTTAAAACATATTCAAGAATAGAAGAATTCCCACTTTTTGTCTCATAAAATTTGTGTGAACAATAATCATCTGATTTATTGGCAACTACATGAGGAGAGATAGGCTGATCTTGTGAACACTTAATGGTAATATGCAATTAAAGTTTGTCTGGCCATGGAAGCTAGAATTATTTAGTGGTTGCTTTTTGTGGTCATGATTTGCAAAAATTAAATAATGTCCTATGATTTGAATTTTCTATCAATAGTAATTATGATTTGACCTAGTGGGATGTCTTGTTAAATTTCCAATCTAGTTAATTTTATGATAGGTATTGCATCGGACATAACAAAATGGTGAAATAGGATTCTTGTAGCCAATCCTATATGATTGGGACAAGATTTAGATGATGATGATGATATTTTAGTTACTTATCATTGATTTTCAATAACCTCACATTGTCGTGTTTTTTTCTTCTAAAAGAAAGAAAAGGAGAGATTATACTTTGGCTTTCTTTTATTTGTTTTTTATCCCTTTTTGTTCTAATAATTTAGTTTTTCCTCTGTAGTTTCTCGTATTGTAGCAACAAGCGAGCAGTTTGATATGTACATGCAGCTAGATGTGAATACTGAGATATATCCTCTTCGTGTTGATGATAAATTTACAATGGTACTTGCACCCACATTAAGTTTGGATGGAACTCCTGACAGTGGCTACTATACTCAGGTAATCGTCCTCTTATTGTAGTTTACAATCCACCCTCTCTAGAGATGTGGAAAGGGTTTTTCTACCACATCTTGGTTGTGGGATGAACCGTGGTTCAACTCAGCCTTATGAACTACCATGTTATGGATTTGTGTAATTACCAGCTGATCTTTTTCCTTTTTCTAATTTAATATATACTAATATTTGTGTATGTGCTTTGTACGTGACAAATTTTGTGATGATGATAGTATATAATATATTTCCAATTTTTTTTATTATATTTCTACATCTATAAAAATTTTTCTTATTTATCACATTTATTATGGTTCATTAATATAAAGATATGTCCGAATAAAAATCTTGCAAAGCTAACGAGAATTAATAAAATTCTTATTATTCTTATTTATTATGGTTCACTAATAAAATTAATAATTTTTATCAGTTACCTTCGTCAGAATTTTATTTGAATTCTCGTTACCTTTGCAAGATTTAATTTCTATATGATAAATCCAACTTCAACTCCTTCATTGCTGAAAACCTTACAATAAACTGCTATAAAAAATATCACTTACTCTTGTAGATATCTTGCCATCAAATGATGTGGTTTTTAAGGCAACGAAAATGTAAAATTTACCCACCATATGTTGGGAATAAAGATGAAAAAACCATATCCTACCGTAATGATCGAGAACTGAACTAATGAAAATAGGTTAAAAATATTTAAAAAAAACAAGAAAAATAGTTTAAAGAATAAATTGCTCATCCATTTGCAAGTTGGAAATCTCTTCATGGTGGTTAATGTGGCCCAACGTTGTCTATTGAGAACATAAGATGTACTTTAAGTATTTTTATTATTTTAATTTAAATAAATGAAAGGGTAAATTGTTAAAACCTCCTGTAAAATTTTTGATCATTGCTGAACCTCCCCTAAAGTTTGGTAAATGCAATCACCTCCCATGAACTTTTTGACACAATTGCAAGTAGACCCTCTATTAGAATCTTTTAACAAAAAGCACAAAATGTCCAAAATACCCATGTAGTTATTTTTGACACAATTACAAGTAGACCCTTTGTAAGAATCTTCTAACAAAAAGCACAAAAATGTCCAAAATACCCATGTAGTTACTTTTGACCAAAAATGTTTATTTTCCAATTTTTTTCTTCATATCAATCACTACTCCAATCCCTTCTAATATCTTTTTCGGAATTGATGTATTTTCCAAATTTTCCCTTCACATCAATTTCTCAAAGGCAAAATTGCAACTTTAAACTCTCTTTTTTTTGTTGTTCATAACATTTATATTGCTTTTATGTATAAACCAGCCTCAATAATAATTACATGGGTATTTTGGACATTTTCATGCCTTTTGTTAGAGTATTTTACAAAGGGGCCCTACTTGCAATTGTGTCAAGAAGTTTATGGGAGGTGATTGCAATTACCAAACTTCAAGGGAGGTTTAGGCAATGGTCAACAACTTTAAGGGAGATTTTAGCAATTACCATGGTTTGTTTTCCAATTATTGAGCAAAAAGAGTGATTTTTGTGTATTTTCCATAACAAGCATTAAATGGGAATGCTAAATAACATTTTTGCAATTGACTTGTTTTACAATTATGAACAAAAAGAATGGAGTTTTGTGTCTTTTTTTGTAATAAGCATTAAATGAGAAAGAAGAGTCATTTCTTGATAAGCATTAAATGAGAAAACAATCTTGCTTGGACAGTAGAATTTGGTTGATATCCCCCTCTAAATCTTTCACATGTGCTTCTTTTTTCATTACTCTCCTTCATTCAATACATCAGCCCAACCCCTTCCCCACAAAGGAAGTTTGGTGTAACCCTGTTCCCCCAAAAATAAGAGCCTTTTGTTGGGAGGTTGTGCTCCAAAAGATTAACACCTTGGATAAACTACAAAGAAGTCTAAATTGCTACCTATCCCCTCATGTTTTCTGCCTTTGCTTGGGGAGTGGTGAGACAATTATTCACCTTTTAATATCTTGTCCTTTTGCATCTTTTGTATGGCGTTGGTTTTCTTCTCTCTTTGGGTGTAGGTGGACCCCTCCGGATGTGGCAAGCCTATTTGACCCAAGCTTCTTCACACTACCTAGGAAAAGGGGTAGAGTGATGTGGAGAGCGACAAGAGCAGCCATCCTTTGGTCAGTCTGGAAGGAGAGAAATAGTAGAATTTTCCAAGGGGAAGAAAGGTTTAAAGAGTAGGTAATTGAATGCATAAAGCAATTGACCTGTTCAAAGACTTTTCAGCTGTAGGTATCCTCAAGGGATGGTTAGTAGTGGCAAGTTCTTCAACTACAAAGGCTGTGGTTCAGCCTTATTTGGATACTTGCAGCACAACAAAGGGTTCAGTTGAACTTTGATGGATTTTTGGGTAATCTAGGACCTTTTGGAGCTGGGGGAGTTTTAAGAGATTGGGGGGGGGGGGTACGCTGTTAGCATTATACTGTGGCACCATAGGTGATGGAAATTCTTTGAGGGCTGAAACGTTGGCCCTACTACAAGGATTAAGGCTGGTGAAGCAATGGGGCTTTCAAAATTTTGAGGTGGAAGGAAACTCTAAACTATTAATTGGATGGCTATAGACAAAAAAGCTTGGTGGTATGGACTCTTGGACAACAAATGAGGGAAATACTCTACCTAGCAAGGGAAGCTGGAGTAACATTCAAGTGGGTAAGAAGATCAGCCAATTCTATGGCTGATATGCTAGCAGTTTAGCAAAGTAGGGGACCTTCAGGGAAAACCTTTTTTAGGTTGTGCTGTAAGAATTAAAGTTGTTTGTGGTCCACACATATTTTGAATGGTTGGTAGTGTACATGGTTAACTATTAAGTCTAATAAAAGTTACCGTTTCCAATAAAAAAAGTAACATAAAATAAAATAGCAACTCAAAGAGGAAATCAGAAGAAGAAATAGAGAAAAACCAAGGTTTAATGTGGTTTGGCTTGGTAGTCTACATCTATTGGAGGGGAAAAATATCCACTCTAAGAACAAGAGATACAACTCTCTCTTTCTCTCACACATTCTTACTCTCTTCCTTACCGACTAATCTCACACAACCACTTGCTTAAATAAGCAAAAGATCGAAATACATCAGGACTACACATAAGCCCCTTTTTCTATCATAAATACAATTAGGTCCCCATAACTTGTCAATATTACAAATACAGCCAAATACAATATATATCTCAACATGACCCCCCTCAAACTCAAGGTGGGAAAACCAACTCGAGTTTGTAAGGATGTTGAAGCAACCTCCATGGAAATAGGTTTATTATTGAAGCAACAACCATGAACCTTGAGATGTTGAAGGGACCTCTCAAGCAACAGTTCACCGATACACCAAGGGAGCTTCACACATTCACCAACAAAGTTATCACCACACCACAAACCATTCCTAACTCACAAACATCCACAACTTGAGACATCATAATTTCTTTTCCAACTCACAAACAACCACAACTTGAGGCATCAAAGCTTCTTTTACAACTCACAAAATCACAAGCAACCACAACTTGGGGCATCAAAACCCCTTTTTCAACTCACAAACAACCACAACTTGAGGCATCACAACCTCTTTTCCAACTCACCAATTCACAAGCAATGACAACTTGAGGCATCAAAGCCCCTTTTTCCGACTCACAAACAACCACAACCTTGAGGCATCAAAGCCTCTTTTCCAACTCACGAAACCACCACCAACTTACAAACAACTGTAACATGAGTCTAGTAGTTGACTACTTTGAAATCTCTTTGTATAGTAGTCAACTACTATTATTATCTTACTCCTAGTAGTCGATTATTATCAGTATCTTGCTCCTAGTAGTCGACTACTACACGAAGAGATTTCATAGTAGTCAACTATTATTTGTGTTCTGCTCTTAGTAGTCGACTACTACATAAAATATTTCATAGTAGTCGACTACTACCTTAATTGAACATGAAATAATAGCAATTGGAACACCTTCACAGCTCACAAAATCACTTATCACACCACTATTAAACTTTTCACAACAACCAGAACACCTTCATAGCAATCGGAACACCTTCACTACAACCAGAACACCTTCACATCAACTAGAACACCTTCACAACAATCAGAACACCTTCACAACTATTATTTGTGTCCTGCTCTTAGTAGTCGACTACTACATAAAGAGATTTCATAGTAGTCGACTACTACCTTAACTGAACATGAAATAATAGCAATTGGAACACCTTCATAGCTCACAAAATCACTTATCACACCACTATTAAACTTTTCACAACAACCAGAACACCGTCATAGCAATCGGAACACCTTCACAACAATCGGAACACCTTCACATCAACTAGAACACCTTCACAACAATCGGAACACCTTCACAGCAACCGGAACACCTTCAAAATAACCGAAACACCCGCTTTGATACCATGTTAAACAACATAAAATAGCTTTGATACCATGCCAAGTAACATAAAACAGAACAACAACTAAAGGAGGAAACAAGAATAAGAAATAGAGAAACACCAAGGTTTAACGTGGTTTGGCTTGGTATACATCCAAAGGAGGAGAGGAAACATATCCACTGTGAGAACAAGAGATACAACCTTCTCTCTCCCTCTCTCCCTCTCTCCCTCTCTCTCTCTCTCTTTTTCTCTCTTTCACACCCTTGCTCTCTTCTTCACTCACTAATCTCACATAACCACTTGCTTAAATAAGCAAAAGATTGAAATACATCAGAATTACACATAAGCCCCTTTTTCTTATTTAATAATTAGTTAATAATAAAGCATTAATAAAATTATGAATTATTAATAAAACAAAAATGAATTACTAATTAATTATGAAATAATTATTTTTATTTACTAATTAATTAAATAAATTAGGGCAAATTTCTTAAACTACCCCTAAGGTTCAACTAATTGACTAACTCTACCCCTATTGTTTGACTATTGTGTTAAAGTACCCCTACTGTTTTTGGCAATTGTTGCCATCGTTAAATCATAACGGAAAAAATAAAATGTTGAA